TTCAGGGAGTATCTCACATATATGCTGCATGTGTTCTGGTGTTGTCTTTTATCTAAGCTATCCTTCATGCCAGTCATCCTCAGAGGCTCTCCTTGCCTTCAGTGGACAGTGTTTTATCCCTGGCTTGAATACAGTGAGTTTTAACCAGGTATGCTTTGGTCTGCTTATGAAATGAGACTTGACACCACTTCCACCAGAACTGAGGCCCTGCAGAATTCTCTGCTTGGGAGATATGGTATGAGCCGGGGTTTGTGCTAGTCTTCCTGAGGTAGGGGCCCACTGCACTGGGACTCTGAGGCAAGCTTAACTGAGAAGAGTAGTCCTGCCAGAGTGGGGCTTGGTATATGCAATTTAGGTAGCCAGTGTCTGTAGGTTGCTCTGTGTTTATGCTAAGGGACAGTGGGGGTGGGGAACGGCCAGTTAGCTCCTTTGTTTCAGAGGTGTCTCTGTGAGTGCTAGCTCTCAGAGACGTGCTCCAAGAAGAGCAAATAATGTCCCTGTTGTGTGCCCTAGGCATTCTTCAGATCACTGTTTCCATGCTGTATGCCCCTGGATTGTTTGCCTGCCTTCTCTCCAGGAGCAGCACAGTACCCTCTGGGCTCTATCCCAGTGAAGCCTGTTAACCCTTAAAACTTCAAACTTTATGCCCCACTGGTTGCAAGAACTCATGAAGTTCAGCCTCTCTTATTTTTCAAGCCAATGGCTTTGGGGAAATGTTCTCCTTGTGTTCCCCCCTTTGTGATTTTCTTTCTCTTGCCCTTCTCTGGGACTACAGCCCCCTCTCCTCTGCCACACTTGCAATTTGATCTGTCTCTTCCCTAAACCAAGTCTCTACACATCCTACCTTCTTCAGTGTGACTCTTCCCTCCCTTTAGCTGTGGAGTTTGTTCTTTCAGTCTTCAGGTCAATTTCTGGAGTAGTTAGGATGATTTGATAGTTATCTAGTTGTGCTCATGGGAATAGTCAAGCCTAGGGTCTTCCTACTCTGCCTCCATTTTCTTCTTCTCTGACATGTGGGGGTTTTGGACCATTTATCTGGATGGCATTGCTTTCTTCTACAGTGTATTGATCTGGCTCTAAGTTATTTCTAATTCCACCCTTTCCTCTGCATGTAAGGTTATAATAACAGCTGCATAGAAAAGCAAATGCTGAATGGTAGCACTATGATAATTCAGTCTCAGTTCCCCAGCCACACTGCCTCTCAAATTATCCTTCATGAGTCAACTTTTCTGCTCTACTGCACCCTCAGGGAAGAGGTGCCTAGTAAGAGGAAATCACAACATCATCTTGATTTTCCTTTTGTTCAAGTACCGTGTGACAAAAGACTAGTAATCAGAGTAATATTTTTAAATATTAACAACCTACTCAACCATGTAAGGAAGAGATATACTGAATTATTAAAATATTCAGTCTGATAGATGGGTCACCTTATATCAGTTTTGCATAATCTACACCTCAACGATTCCAAGAAGCTCCCCAAAAAGAACATTTTTGTAGTATGTTAGTATTTAAGGAAAGAAGCTTATAGTTTTTGTTACATTTATCAAATGGTTCTCTGACCAAAATAGGTTAAGAACCACTTAGTGAGGATAACTGTTTTTCAATTCTTAGCTATACAGAGAGAACATGTAAATCATGATAAACATAATTTTCTTTCTTTAATAATTCCAGAGATACCAGATTGTTATAATGTCTCAAAGTTCTTAAAATGAGTATCCGTAATGATTAAACAGTATTGTGAAAATTTTAAATTATTTGAGCTTTCTCAATTCATTCTATCAAAATGAAACTGTGTAAACATAACCATTATTTAGAGTTTGAATAAATAAATAAATAAAATGGAATTTTATGCAAGTGTCTCCTTTGTCACTAATTACTATATATGATACTCTAGAAAAATCAATTAACTTCTTCAAATTTCTATCTTCATAGTGGTAAAATGAGGGTATCCATGTAGTCTATGCCTCTTTAGGCTCTGTTGGATATGGACACAGAGAAGTAGCTGAACGGGGGACCAGTGATTTAAATGCTTTTAAATCATGGATTTTAGATCTGACCTGATTCAAACTCAGACACAATCTTGACTCTGATACAATAGCCTCCAAAATAGTCTCCTTCCTTCCAAGTTTCCTCCATCAGACTTATTTTTCCAAGCAGTAGTCTGAATGACATTTAAAAAATGTAATTGAGGTCATGTCATTCTGTTCAAAGCTCTCCACTGGCTTCCCACCTCATTCCAAAAAGAAGCTGAAGTCATCGTAATTGTTTGCAACTTTACCACTCAAAGTGAAGTCTACAGACTAGCAGCATCAGCTGAAACCAAACCCTATGGGAGAGCTACTAAATCAGAATCTATAGTCTACAGAGAGCCTCAAGTGACACAAATGTCATCAAAGTTTGAGAAACAACCTTGATGGCTTCTCCTTTTCCCCTTTCCATTTTCCCCTTGCTCGTCCTCTTTTTCCCCTTGCTACAGAGGCCTGGCCTTCCTACAGCTCAACCACATGCCAGACTCCCTCTTGCTGCAGGAACTTTACATTTGTCATTCAGTCAGCACAAAATCTCTCTTCCCCAGGTATCTGTAGGGATTTCCCCTTCATCTCCTTCAGTCCTTCCCAAGTGTTGTCATCTTGGTGATCCACCCCCTGACAACCCTACTTGAAACTGCAAACCTCCCTCCCCACAACATAGTCCTTATGTGTCTTCAGGAAGTTACTTTTCTCTATAGCATTTAACATTATTTGGCATACTATATCATTATTTATTTATGATTTCTCTCCTCCTCCTAAGATCCATGAGAGCAGAGATTTTTGTCTCTACTCTATCCCCATTACCTAAAACAATGGCCACTACATATTTGTTAAATTCATGAATCAGGTGAGCTAACATATATAAAGTTTGTTGGGGTTAGACCCTCAATAATTAATATCCATATTATGTTTTGTTGGACATCAAAAGTATTTCTCCTAGGCAGACAGAGTATGGTTGTCTTACAGAGATCAAAAATGACATTTTGGACAATTCATGCTGTGAAAAGTTGAAAAGAAGTTATTATAATAACCCTCAGCAGACAGAAAATAGGTAAAGAATTGCATATATATTTATTTCATTTTTTCCCCACTGAGGTAGCCCCATTACATGGTGCAGTGCCAGGAAAATGGCAGACACTAAATAATGAATGAACAAATATAACAAATATAACTTTAAACATATATAAAGATAGTATATAAGAATCTGTATTTGACTCTCTGGCATCCTTTGACAGCTCTAACCTGGCTACCTGTCTGGTCTTTTGATTTTCTTGTACCAGCATTTTATATTTATCATTAACTTGAAGTAACAAAACTACTAATCTGAAACCAACACCTTTAAGACAAACTATTGCTGGTATTTGGTTAAAACCAGGTGGCTTAATTATCTAAGGAGGACTGATAGCAAAACTTAATAATAATGACACAACTACTAGTTATATCAGGAAACTTTACAAGTGTTTTAGCTGTGTCATCTAATATCTGCAATGCTATTATAAGCTAGGTATTATTTTTAATATCTATAATACCTATTTTTAGGATGCATCAACTGAGGCCTAGAAAGGTTAGGCAACATGCCCAAAGTCATACAGGAAAGCTACTGATCCACTGCAGAATGAGTTATATCAAGAGTCAAGGATTTATTTATCCTCTGCAACTACTTTCAGATTTTAGTTTTTTTAGTAATGGAATTCTTTTAACCCCCGGGCAAACTGTTGCATGAGGGCTCAGGGACTAGAACTGATAATAGTGGCACAGCTATTAATCCAGAAGAGATGAGGCAGAGTGAAGACCCATTGCCTTAGCCTTCTCCTTTGCTCCTCCTTATCCATTGGCTCTGTCTAGAACCTTTGCAGAACCTCAGTGATCTAAGGAAAACCTTTGCCCTGTGGAAAGGAGGTTGGACAAGCATCCAAACAGCAGACAGAATTTCTAAAATCTCTCTCCAAGTAAAAATAAAGGGGCCAGGGGAAGCATCCTAATAGGTAGAAAAAATCCCACACAGGATTCTGTGTACTACAGACTGATCACAAAGGTAAAAATCTGACTATATAAGTAACTTGGGATTCCAAGAAGAAGTTTGGACTATGTCATACCTAAGTCTCTTCAACTCTAAAATGTCATGATACAATGATCTAGAGTGGGTAATAATCAAAGTATGATTTGATATATAACTTTTAAAATTATCCTGCTTCAAAGCCTCGAGGTAGTCATTTCTCTAAGTTGGCACAGGTAACTGGACAAGGAAGGCAACATGGATATGCGTGAATAAGTCAGAATACCTGTTTCCAGTTCTATCACTACAAGGCACCTAACCTTGAGAAAGTCAGATCCTTAAATAAAAAGTATACTCTTCTACCTCACAGGTAAAGGTAAGACGATATAATAATGATGATAACCTTCGGAACTACCGAAGTTGTACGCAAATGCTAACAAAAGTATTAGTTAAAGAACCAAAAGTAGACTTTAGGGTTAAAGAATACACATATCCTACTTCTATTGAGAAAATGCTATGAGATGATATTTGGACACTAAATAGTTATTTGAATTGATAATATATCCTTAAGTCAATGATCTGCCAGTCAAGTTATCCAGCACATTGTCAGCAGCATTCATTCATTACCTATTTGACAGCCATTTGACATTTACCACAATATGCTAATTTCTTACTTATTTTACCACCACAGATAAATTATTTGAATGAAGACATCTAATGAAAATGTCCCTTTAATTTTTGCTAACACCAATCGACAGTAGTCTATCAAAACAAATTTTTATAGATTATTGAATTATAAATAAAAGTGTAAATATTCTGTAATTTTGCCCAAAGAAGATATAGCAAAAATGAGATATAATTATTACACTTTAAGCTGTGTGTCATTTTCTTAAATTTAAATAATTAATTGCAATTATAAAAAGGGAGGAATACAATTGGTAAAAGCAAGAAAAAGATAATTGCTTTAGACTTACTGCTGCATGAAGAACTGAGGCAGTGCAATAAGCAATGTTCCAACTCCCATGATTAGACACCCTGTTCCGATTATTTTTGGTCTGTGAAGTTTGGCTCCAAAGTAGCTTACGAATGTTATAACTAAGAGATTCCCTTGGGGCAAAGAATAAAATGTTTATCAGTTAGATAACTTAGAAAAAGTCATCAGTGTAACTAAATGAATATAACTAAATGAATGAATGTCCTTAGCAGGTCTGGCAATGTTTTGTTTTAACTAAACGGTCTCCCCACCATCTTTCCCATCCTTTGTCTTTCTTTGCTTTAATCTAAGATGACTGTTGAAATTGCCTGCATACTCATTACTTTAATTATCTCATCCATTTATCAAAATACTTTAATTATGAATACTACTACCTCAATTTTATCCACCCTAATTATTTGTCCTTTTTAAAGTGGTTTATCAGTAAATCAAATTGTAGAAGGGTTCCTTTATTGCTCTCTTAAGTTTTCCTTAGTGATTTTGAAGTGAACTTTATTACTATTTCTTCATTCATTTCCATTAAAGCTTTTATCAGTTTCCCAGTTGCGCTTGAAACATACATTACATATTCTTATTTTAGCAGATATTCCTCATAGAAAAAGTAAAACAAACACAACTATACCTCACTTTGTTAAATCAAATTACGAAATTCATGTTAATACTAAGATACTTTACAATTTGCTATGTGCTTTTTACAAAAAGACTGAAAACAGAGGTAAAAATTACTTCATATAAGCAAACTTCAGGAATATACCAGTTATATAATCTCAATGTTTACTTATAATCCAAATTTTATGAAATACAAAATTTCTATAAAATGTACCCATCTTTTTAAAAAAATAATTGACAAATTTTTTTTGAAGGTGGAAATTATGCTTTCATAAAGTTTCTAGAGAAGCATGGAATAAATTAGTTTTAGTTGATGATGGTGATGAGTTACTAAATATGCTTTAGGGAAAATATTTTGCTGTATAGAAAAATACTACAAGGAGGTGGTAAGGGGAAGAGAAACCTTAAAAATGTAAAATCTTGGAAGCTCCCAACAGTTTCTTATTTCATGGATCTAGGGGTAGGCCAAGAAATCTGCATTTTAATATCACTCAAATGTGCTGATGGAGATGGTTCCAGGAACATGCTTTGATAAACACTATTTAGGATCTTAGATTTCAAAGGGCTTTTAAAGTTTCAGCTCTTTGCACTTGGAATAGTTTTTTTAAAAACTGCAGTGCTAGATAGAGTAATAACTTAGCAACTCCCCAGCAATTGATTGTGATGGGTAGTGTTGCTTTGAAGCTCTGCCTTCAATGTTTCCAATTTTCTAGCAAGAATATGTTTGCTTACATCTGTAAGCAATCATCTAATTTATTACTGTTTGTTCACATTGCCAGCCTTAGTCAAGTGCAAAAAGAGCAGCAATTTTTATAGCCTTGAGAACAATAATGACAGTGAGAAAATTAGCATGCACAGTGGCTCTAAGTTTTATGGCGCCATAAAGAATTAAGCTTCTTTTTTCATAGGAAAAAAAAAAAAAACCTTGAATATGAGATTTCTCACTTGATATTTAAGCATTTAGTAGAAGTAATTTTGTGTCATATTCCAGTGATAATTATGTCTATACTTTTGTTAATGTGTCACAGTTAATAAACTAAAGTACAGTGAAAGCTGACCTTTAGTTTATAGATAACGTATCACTGAAACCAATATCACCTACCCTCCTCACCTCCCATAACATCAAAACCTCACAATAAAGGACTTATGTTTCAGGCTGTTTCTGTGTTACATTAGTGGGTATGCCAAAGACCACATAATACCACTTCAGTGTCTGTGATATCTACAGAGTTTTTGCTTTCTTTACTTAGTATCTCTTCTGAGTTCTCAGAAGATACACATAGGAAATTAATGGTGATGAGCTTTAAAAAATTAAATTGGATATCAAAAATCACTTCTATTATCACTAGCTTCTGGGAAAGACAATACAACCACAGTGCTTTAAAACTGTTTTACCAAACTTTTAAGTAACCGATTCTCCCCCCTTCTCTTTCTTCCTCTCTCTCCACACACATAATTTAGATAACAGAAAAGAAAGCCACCCAACTCATCTCCTATGACTTATATACCTTGAAAACAAAAACTAGAGAAGGACAATGAAAGAAAAGACCAAATGCAATTTGTTCCAAAAGTGCAAGGGTATCACCAAATAAGAGGAAAAAAATTTAACTTAATCATTGTCTTAAGTGATAAAAGGAGAAAAAAATCCATGGTTATCTTAATAGATGTAGTAAAAGCATCCAATATAATTAACCACCCACTTGTGAGAAGAAAAATATTTAAGCAAATTAACTTTTTTTTTTTTAGTTTTTATTATGTTCAGCTAGCCAATTAACATTTAAGCATATCTACCAAACTATAGAGCACACATATTACTTAATTGTGAAATTGTAAAAGCATTTTCATTAAGGTCAGATATGAGAAAAGAACACCCATTGTCACCGCTTCTATTTAACATAGTACTGAGGCCAATGCAATATAGCAAGAACAAGAAATAACAGATCTAGAATTGGAAAGAATAATATAAAACTGACTTCTCTTTCAGACAATATGATTGTCTATTCAGAAAACTCTATAGCATCTAAAAGAAAAAGAAAACTCTACAGCATCTATAATCAATTAAAATTAACATACATTTATACTAATATATAGAAAATCCTAGAGACTGCACAAAAAAACTACTAGAAGTAATAAACAAATTAAGTAAAGTGGCAGGATACAAAATTAATATCCAGAAATCAATTTTTCTATATACCCAAAATTGATTAGAGACCTATATGGGAGATCTGAAACCAAAGAAGTCCTAGAAGAGAACACAGGTAGTAATTTCTTTGACATTGGCTGTAGCAAGATTTTTCTAGCTATGTCTCCTCACACAAGGAAAACAAAAGCTAAAAAAACTATTGGGACTATATCAAAATAAAAAGCTTTTGCACAGCAAAGGAAACTATTAATGAAACAAAAAGAAAACCTGCTGACTGGGAGAAAGTATTTGCAAATGATATTACCTGATTAGGGTTAATATCTAAAATATATAGGAACTTCTATAATTCAACACCAAAACAAACAATCTGATTTAAAAATGGTGCATAAACAATGAATGCTGGCACACTGAAAAGAAATAAAATAAAATAAAATGGAAAAAAAAATAATAAAAATGGGCAGAGGACCTGAATAGACATTTTCCAAAGAAGACATACAGATGGCCAACAGACACATGAAAACATGCTCAAATCACTAATCAGGGAATTGCAAATCAAAATCACAATGAGATATCACCTTATCCCAGTTAGAATGGCAAAAATCAAAGTGGCAAAAAATAACAAATGTTGCAAGGATGTGGAGGAAAAGAAACTATTGGTGAGAAGGAAAACTGGTACAGCCCTGGTAGAAAACAGTATGGATGTTCCTCAAAAAATTAAAAATTGAAATACCCAATGGCATTTGGGTATATGATCCAATATATTTTGGGTATATGATCCAATAATTTCATTATTGGGTATTTACCAAAAGAAATTGAAAACAGTAATTCAAAAAGATATATGTACCTCTATGTTTATTGCAGCACTATTTATAATAGCCAAGATATTATATGGAAGCAACCCAAATATAATCCAAATATAAATACAACCCAAATATAAATCCAAATGTCCATTCTTAAATGAATGGATAAAGAAGAGAAGTGTATACACATGTACATGGGCACGCACGTCCATGCATGCGCGCGCGCGCGCACACACACACACACACACACACACACAGAAATATTATGCTGCCATAAAAAGGGATGAGATCATGCCATTTGTGACAACATGGATAAATCTATCAGTGAAATAAGTTAGACTAAGAAAGACAAATATCATATGATTCCACTTAAGAAAAGAAATGAATAAACAAAAACCAGATTCAGATTCAGACCTTTAAATACAGAGAACAAATTGAAGATTGCCATTGGGTTGGGATGGTTGGGCAAAGAGAGTGAAGGAGAGAGGGAGATACAGGCTTCCAAGTTATGGAATGAATAAGTCATGGGAATAAAAGGCACAGCATAAGGAATAGTTAATGATACTATAATAGTGATGTGATGGAATAGATGGTAACTACACTTGTGGTTAACATAGCATAATCATAAACTTGTCAAATCACTAAGTTGAACAACTGAAACTAATGTAACATTTTGTGTCAACTATACTTAAATTAAAAAATATTAACATAAGTTCAGCAAGGTTGCTGCATACAGATAACATTAGATATTAATATGGTTACAATATTCCAGGAATTACTAAATAGGAATTGTAACAAAAATCTATTACTATAAAAGCAATGATTAAAAGGAAACTCATTGCACTGAATGCATATATTTGGAAATAGTAAAAATCTAAAGTCAGTTTTCTAAGTTTCTACCTAGGAAACTAGAAAGAGCCAATTAAATCTAAAGTAGGTAGAAGAAAAGACATAATAAAATTAGAGCAGAAATAAATGAAATTGAAAACAGAAACTCAGAAGAGAAAATAAGCAAAACCAAAAGGTGATTCTTTGAAAAGATAAATGAAATCAATAAGCCTCTAGTCATGCTCACCAAGAAAAAGAGAGAGAGAGAGAGAGAGAGAAAGAGACGATACTAATACTAATACCAGAAATGAAAGGGGAGACATCACTATAAATTTTAGGGACATTAAAAGAATAAAAAAGTTGTACTATGAATAACTCTATACTTACAAATACTATAATCTAAATAAAATGGACCAACTACTTAAAAGACACAATCTGCCAAATATCCCTAAGAATTAACAGGCAACATGAACAGGCCTGTATCTATTATAGAAATTGAACCAATAATCTTTTTTTTAATCATTTTTTAAAATTTATTTTCAGCATAACAGTATTCATTGTTTTTGTACCACACCCAGTGCTCCATGCAGTCCGTGCCCTCTCCAATACCCACGACCTGGTTCCCCCAACCTCCCACCCCCCGGTTCCCCCAACCTCCCACCCCCCAACCTCTTCAAACTCTTCAGATTGTTTTTCAGAGTCCATAGTCTCTCATTTTTCACCTCCCCTTCCA